GTGATTAAGAACACTTATACAGCTATTTTTAAATCATGTGATGTGATGACATTGATCATTATGAAACAGGAGCCCACAATTATTGAACACTTCTATTCCAGGTTTTGTTCTAAGTTTTTGACATGCATTCTTTCATTTCATGACCACAACAATTCTATGAGGTAAGCACTATTATTATCTCCATTTTTCTGATGAGAAAATAAAGGCTAGAGAGGTTTGATGTTTTTCCCGATGTTGCAAAATTGCTAACAGTCAAAACTGTAGTTTGAAGTCAAGAATTCTGGCTCCACATCCCATACTCTTTTTTTTTTTTTTTTTTTTTCCTTTTTTTTTTTNTGCAGGTGACCATGGCCTGTGGCTCAAGGCCAAGAGTTATTTAAATACTTTTATTTAGATTTTTTTCTACATTGAGTGAAGTCGATGATCATGAACAGCTTATATACTACTAATTAGCAAAGTGCCTGGCACAGAGCAAAGGCTCAACAAACGGACTTTTTGGTATGATTATTGCTCAAGTCAAATGAAATAATTAAACAGGTATTGCTTTGTTCAAATGGTAAATTTGACTAATGTTTGGTCAGCCTTTTAATTTATAAGATATGTTGAGTGACTGATAAAGTTAGAACAGGGGTGGCCGACTGGCTCACTTGGTTAGAGCACGGTGCTGATAACACCAAGATCAACAGTTCATATCCCCTTACCAGCCAGCCACCAAAAAAATAAAGTTAGAACACAACCATGATAAACTTGTAAATCCCCAAAATGTAAGCACAACTTTCTCCAAACTTAAATTTTGAAGTTAAATTCTTATCCATATTGTGGAGGAGAAAAAGTGGAACCCAAGAAAAATAAAATTTAAATGGATCTCTTGCTTTTGCCCACCCTGTAAGTTCCAGAGTATTTTAAAGTTCAAAAGTTGTGTCAGTGCAGAGCCTGTAACAGCTGAGTCAAAAGATAACCTTTGGTAAGTGAAAGTAGATACAGTGAGTAACCTAAGTTGCTTGTGGATACTGCTTTCAATTAGGAGGGCATTCAGCAACAAGTAAACAATAACCTAACAGTGACTTAAACCATCAGAACATTTATTTTTTATTCAACAATTTGAGAAAAGATGTCCCAGGATTGATTCAGCAGCTCAGTATTATGGATTTAGGATCTTTTTCTCTTTACTCAGTCATCTTTCGTAGATGGGCCTTTGTCATCCTCTGGTTTAGAGTTAGGATTATGGCTGCCATATTAACAAGCATCACAACATAATTGAAGCATATCAAACAGAAAGAATAGGGGCAGAATGTGTCTTTCTTATAGTTTCTCCAACAGATAAAACATTACTTGGAACTGGTAGCATGACCAGCCCAGATCAATCACTGCAAAGAGATTGTCATGACTGATTGAGACCAATCATGTTTCATCACTCAGGACTGGGACTTAGGCAGACTAAACAGAATATTGCATATCATGCTATATAAATTTTTGTACACTTCTGACAATAGCCTCAATTTGAAGATTAACCCACTCATACAGGCATATCAAGTTACTGTATATCTGACTAAAGCAACGTTGTTCTGAGAAAACTCTGCAAACTGCATATGTGTAAGAAGGATAAACAATTACTGCTCTAATTTCCGAAATCTTACGTGTTTCCAGCTTTAGCTCAGTTATAGCAATGCCAGGAAGCATAGTGTAGTGAAAACAGCATGGAGCTGGAGGAAGCTGGATGATAATTAAAACCCTGATTCCGCTGCTCATCACCAATGTCCTGGCGGCAAGATACTTAAGCGCTGCTCTTCAGTTTTCTCAACTGTGAAATATGAAGATACCTTCCATACAAGATAGCTGTGAGGATTAAATGAGAGTATATGGCAATCAAACGAATGTTCTATGATTAATAAGTACAATTTGGACAGGCAGTAATTATGCCTGTGTGTGTGTATAAGACAGCTGTAATAAAAGTACAGTATTTTCTGTCCTCCAGAAGCTTAAGTATAATCTGGGCAAGCACTTGGAAAAGAAGAGTGGCAGCAGACAACAGGGCATTGATACAATTAAGGGGCATTTCTTTGAAATTTCTTTGAAACTGTTATCAAGTATATTGCATACCCAGTGGTTAAAAATATAAATTGGTTCGCTTTCCT